CGCCCGCGCCTGCGCCCTGCACCCACGTGCCCTGCCCGCGCCTGCGCCTGCGCTCTGCTCCGCCCTGTACCCACGTGCCCTGCCCGCGCCTGCGCCCTGCACCCACGTGCCCTCCCCGCGCCTGCGCCCTGCACAATGCACGCCACAGGCCCTCCCTGTGCCTGCGCCCTGCACTATGCACCCACGTTCCCTCCCTGCGCCCGCACCTGCGCCCTGCACCGCGCACCCACGTACCCTGCCCGCGCCTGCGCCCTGCACCGCGCACCCACGTACCCTGCCCGCGCCTGCGCCCTGCACCGTGCACCCACGTGCCCTCCCCGCGCCTGCGCCTGTGCCCTGCACCGGGCCCTCCCTGCGCCTGCGCCCTGTACTGTGCTCGCTCCATGGGTTCCACGTGCTTCACGTGGGTGCCCAGCGCATGTGTCGCATGTGTCGTTAGCGCCACGTGCCTGCCCCACGCCTGTGCTGTGCGCTCCAGATCCCTGCCAGCCTACCTTCACCAAGTGCTCAGTTCATCTGGACACGTGGGATACATGTGCAGCTTTACAGTGGTGTCTGCCTCCCTGGCCTGCTGGACGCCCAGGTGGGGTATGTGCCAGGGACACGGAGCTCCTGTGCCCCGCACACACATTGGGACAAATCCCACCTTCCAGGCGCTGACCCCTGACCCCTGGTCCAACCCAAGGGTGTCTTAGCAGAAGGCTTTCAGAGTCACATGGTAAGGCCTCGGAAGCCTTTAGTCCCCTGCAAACTGAAAGTAAGTGGTGGACTGGCTAGTGCACGGGAGAATGAGCAGTCGTTACTGTTGAGATGGTCGCCTTGGAGAGGGCCCCAGGGAGGGTCTGGTTCTTCCCGCTAGAGGGTCGCTGTGGGACAGAACAGACTTGAAGTGACTGGCTTTGGCTATGGAACGGAGGGAGGCAGGTTAGGCACCATCCATAGCTACTGTCTTGTGCCATCTTCATCTCTGACATATTTGAACTCATTGTTGCACTTTGTCAGTTGTCTTATTACCCATCCTCCTCTCTTTTCTCTGACCTTTTATCTTTCCAAGTATTCATGAATGTATGTATAACAGGTTTCTTTCTTGTATACAAACAAAAGTGTGTGTTGATGTTTTCAAGTACTGTTGAGTTAGAATCTACTCATAGCTGATCCTCAAAGTCTTTAGAAGCAGAACATTGAACAGATCGTCTCATTCTTCTCCGACAGAGCAGTTGATGGATTCGAACAGCCTCCCTTCGGATTTGTATAATTGTTATGTGCCATCGAGTAGCTTGTGAGTCATGGCAACTATGTATAAGAGCTCTGAAGCCTGCTCTGTGCCTGCTCTGTGTTGTGCCAACCTTATCGTCTCTGACATATCTACCCCCATTACCCCAGTCAGAGTCAATTCATCTCATCCAGGGTCCTCTTCTCTTGCGCTGTCACTTCACCCTTCCAAGCATGATGTCCTTCCTTACAGTATGTCCAAAGTGTGTCAGACGAAGCCTCAGAATTTATACATGTACACTGATATTTAAATCCTTGAAGAAGGACATCATGTTTGGAGGGCAGAGGGTCATCTCCGAAGAGGAATACCCTGGATGAGATAGATTGTGCCTGTGACTGTTTTAATGGGCTCAGGTATGTCAGGTGATGAAGATAGCACATGAAAGGTCAGGGTTCAGAGCTGTCATTACAGCGTTGCTATGAGTCGTGATCAACATCTAGGTGCCATCAAGTCAACTATGACTCCGAAAGATCCTACGAACAACTGTCCAGTCCTGTCCAACCCAAAGGTAAGAGGCAGTGTGAGCCCACCAACTGCTCTGTGAGAGAAAGGTGGGACATGGTCTGAATCCTGTGCCATCCTTCCTGCCTTTGACACACTTGAGCCCATTACAGCAGACAGACCACGTTTCAGTACCATCTAGTTGAGGTTCTATTTCTCTTTTGAGGACCCTGTGATTTACTAGAATCATAAACAGCGTAGGAAACAAAGCTTCACCATGCTTGCCTCCAAGAGCACTCTGGCTGCATTGTTTCCAAGATGTACCAGTTTCTTCTGGCAGTTCATGAGTTATTCAGTGCTCTTCTTCCAACACCATGACTCAAATCCCTAAGTCCTCTTCTTGTCATTTGTATTCATTGCCCAGCTCTCAGATGCATAGATTGGAAAGACTGAATTGTATCAGGTGCACCTTAGTTTTAAACTGACATCACTGCTCCTCAGGACTTTGGGTATACATACATAAGTAGAATATATTTTAATTTTAAATAGATACCTGTATACATATATTGTTGCATAAGGGAACTCTGAGGCTGGGTGGTAAGGAATTATGCTTCAAACCAAAGCTGTGAGGTTCAAATCCACCAGCTGCTCCATGGGAGAAGGATAGGCAAACTCCTGCAAGGTAATTGTCTCTGAAAACCTGCCAGAGACTTGACAGTGGGCAGTTCTGACTCAGTGGTATTCAACAACAACCAAATTGGTATGTATCTGTACATACCTATATAGCCATGTGTATATTTTAAGATGCTATGGGAACAAAATTGAATTATTTATAAGCATCAAAAGAAAATGGGAGGAATACACAGAGTCACTATACCCAAAAAAAATGACCTGACAAAGAAGATTTCATGAAACATGATCAGGAGGCAGTGGTGCTGAAGGAGGACGTTCAGGCTACTCTGAAAGAATTGGCAAAAAATAAACAGCTACCTGGCTAGCTGACTGGAAGAGATTTGTACTCATTCCTTTTCAAAAAAAAAAGGGTGATCCAATAGACTGTGAAAATTATCAAACAATATCATTAATATCCCATGCAAGCAAAATACTACTGAAGATTATTCAAAAATGACTGAAACAGTACATTGACAGAGAACTTCCAGAAATACAGCTGGGTTTAGAAGAAGCCATTACTCTAGGGAAATCATTGCCAATGTCAGGTGATCTTGGCTGAAAGCAGAGAGTACCAGAGGAAATGTCTGTGTTTTTATTTGCTGTGCAGAAGTATTTGTGTGGATCACAATAAATTGTGCCTAACCTTGAGAAGAATGGGAGTCCCAGAACCATTAATTGTGCTCATGTGAAACCTAGACTTAAGAAGTAGTTGTCAGAACAGAGCAAGAAAGCACTGCATGTTCCAGGGTCAGGAAAGGTATGTGTCAGGGATGTGTCCTTTCTACATACCTTTTTAGTCCATATGTGGAACCACCATTTAGATATTTACATATGCTTAATGTACATATACGTCATTGTTACTAGGTGCTACCAAGTTGAGTGTGACTCACAGGAACTCGGAGCAACAGGCATAAGCCCCGTCCTGTCCTGCACCATCCTCATACTTCTGACACTAGAGTCCATTGCAGCAGTCACCATGTCAACCACTCTTCAAGCATTATGTCCCTCTCCAAGGAATACCCCTGCTTGGCAACATGCCCAAAAGGTGAGGCGAAGCTTCATCGATCCTTGCTTCCAGAAAGCACTCTCCGAGCCATCTCCAAGACACATCTGCTCATTTGCTTGGCCATCCATGGGATGTTCAGTGTTCTTCTCCAGCATCACAGCTCAAAGGCATCTGTTCTTCTATCATTCCTGTTCTTGTCTAGCTCTCAGATGTATAGCAAGTGATCAGAAAGACCTTGGCCTGAATCAGATGCACCTTAGTCCTCAAACTGAGATCTCTACTCCTTAATAATTTGTAAAGTCCCTAACCACAGACTTATCCATTGTAGAGTGTCTCCTTATTGCCTGACTGCTGATACCAAGGGTTTTAACAGTGAATACAAACAAAGGTGAAGTTGTTGACAGCTTCAATCTCGTCTCCATCATGGCGCTGCCTATTGGTCCAGTGATAAGAATCTTTTCTTTCTTGACATTGAAAGTCAATCCATATTTAAAGGTGCATTCCTTGATCTTCTGCAACTAGTACTTCAAGTCCTCCTTGCTTTCAACAGGCAGGGTTGTGTCATCTGCGTAATGCAGGTTATTGATGAGTCTCCCTCCTATCCTGATGCCACAGTCCTATTCATTGAGTTCAGCTTCTCAAATAATTGGCTCAGCATACAGATTGAATCAGTATGTAGAGAGAATACAACCTGAACATACTCTCGTCCTTG